TATATATATATATATGTGTGTGTGTGTGTGTGTGTGTGCGTGTACATGCGTGTGTGTGCGTATGCGTGTGTATGTGTAATCTTTTTGTATGATGAAATAATTAACATTTAAAAATACGTTATTTTACATAATACATTTCTCTTTTGAAAATATAAAATTTTTGATATTACATGCAAAACTTTTTTTCTTTTTTAAATATCAGTTATTATGTGAATACAGTAATAAAATATATCACAGAGAGTGCGTTCGAGAAGATGCTCTTTGTGTCATTCTATCCTTATTGTTCATTAGATACAAAACGAGGATAAAATGACATAAATAGCATTAATGGCGTCTCCCCGAACACACTATAAATATAAGATCGATTTTAATAACGTTTGGTACAATTACACATAAATTATACTAAACATTATAATTAAACTTTCAATTATAAAATAAGATACTAATTATGTGTTACATACGTTATATAATATTATATTTAGTGTACATGTTATATAGGTATTACATGTAATATGTAATAATTATGCGTTATATTACATATTGTATATTATATTAATTAAGTAAAATATAAATATCTGTAAATATATTTAGATTTTGCTCATATGCACTCGTTTAACAAATTTTCAATTTCTCTTTGCTAGTATCTTTTGTAAAATGATGTACTAAACTAATTTATCTATGAAACATAATTTTTTTATTAATATCAAGTGTACTGACAAAGGAACCTCTCGAGGTGACAAATTCTGATTTTAATGAAACTTTGTAAACTTTTTAGCCTACATAAAGATATGAATTTAGAAAATATCAGTTGCGGCCAAAAAAACGCAACTGATATTTTCTAAGCTACTTTATGTAAACTCTTTATGTAAACTACAAGTTCACAAAGTTTAAAATCAGAATTTGACACCCCGAAAGGTTCCCTTGAGAGAAGAGATTATCAATCGAATACATATGATTATAACTATAACTCTAAAGTAATTATTTGATTAAGATTGTTTATTTCCAATGTTAGCAATATTCTTAAATATTTTACTTTAAGGCTAATTCTACAATGTGCTTTTTGTTTCCTGTTTCTTGCCGTTTGTCACTTGTCTTCTTGATTAAAAAGGCAAGAGACAAACAGCAAGAAACAGTAAACATAAAACACATTGTAGAATTAGCCTAAAGCATTATGACAAACGATTAAACGTGATTATAAATTGGCAGCTGCTGTGAATTGTTTTATATATAGGTATAGAAACTATCTTTTTTTTTAAATTCTATGTTACCAAATATTTTATAAATACGCGATTATTAAAACCTATTATCAATACTCTGTTAAAATAGTGGTGTCTGGTTCTACAGTATTTCTCGCCGTACAAGTTTTTTTTTGTATTATAGAAATTTACGAATTTAATCTTGTGTATATATATACGTACAAATAATATTATTTTTCTAGTCTACATATATATCGAATGTAGAACATCTTGAAAATTTGATTATAATTAACTATACGAAAGTTTAATTGCAACGATTAATAAAAATTCGAATATTTTAAAATTCTTGATTTATTGAGCATTATTTCAATCATCCGTCGACTTTTTTGTTCATCAATTTTTTTCTTTTTTTTTTCCAGGGTGTTCAGCTATCCTTGAATGTCCTTGAATCCTGGAATTATCCTGGAATTTAATGTATCCTGAAAAACTCCTGCAATTTCAGGACTAACTTGGAATTTTTGTTTTTATTTAAAAAAGATGGATCAGGAAAAAAGCGCGTGCGCAAGAAATATGTAACGATAAATTTGTGATCATTATAGATGAAGTTTTAAAAGCAACTGCGGACATTGAAGGTTAGATTAATAAAACCCCAATAAGTTAATAATTTTACAATTAGACGATGTTTGTGATATGTTAATAAAGAGAAAAGTTTTGTTTAGGTATATATAAGCCTTCACTTAAAAATAAGGCAAGTTACTAATAGAAAACTTTCATTTAATATCTATAATTATAAAATAGAATATAGCAGAGAAATTATCGTTTATATTAAATGTTTATTTATTATTTATAAAGTATTAAATAATATTGCTCCAAATTTGTTTGTGTTTTAATTAATTCATCACATAGAATTCTAACATGAATACAAAACATATATTTTGCGCAAATCAATAGAAATTAATTAATTAATGAAAATTAATTGACCTGAAAAAACCAAGATTTTTATTTAGAATGTCTTGGAATTGATCTTGAACTGATTAGTCAGATATCGTTGGATATCCTGTTTTTCTTTGTATTATTACTGTAAATTAAAAGGTCGTTTCGGCAATATTATTAAAAATACATAAAATTTTCGTAAATTATATCTTCTGATGTCCTATTTTTAATTTGTCTTTCACATTGTGATTTGCTAATAATAAATGGATAAATTTATGTATTCACGAAATCAATTTTTTACGATTTTTCTATCAATAATGAATAAATTCATTATATAAATTCAAATGAATAGCTAATGCGTAAGAAAAATTTGTTTTACAGATATATAAATATTTATTCGATTATTATCAGTAAAATTAATGTGAGAAATACAATAAAGATTATATTTAAAAAATAGATGTACACTACAGAAATATAATTTGTGTAAATTTTGTTTGTCAAAAAATGAAAGTATAAAAAAAAAAAACATTTATACAGCAACATTTATATAATTTAAAAGTCACGAATTTAATAATTCGTATTATAAAAGTATTATCAAAATATTTGTGTTAATAATCACAAATTTTTATTAATTGTGGATTATATCATCGTTCTTCAATTATCCTCGGGTCCCCATTGATAGTCACGAAAATTTGTTCGAGGCCGAGCGTCTTTAATAACGTATCAGTGCCCTAATTTTGATCATAGGAACACTATAACAAGTTATAAAATTGCGCGCTCGGAAGTCGTCACAAGCGGAAGCTACGCGCAGCGACGGTAGCGCCAGTGACGGCGCCGACGACGGCGGTAACAACAGGCGCCATTTTGTTCGCTCTTTGCATCACAAACAGGCGAGGTACAGCATTTCAGGCTGAGATAGTCGTTCCACGCCGAGGAAAAAAAAAAAGCAGTTTCTAGCAAAGCATTGGACGGATCTCGTTCTTCGCACGTTTCTCCTCCTTTTCCTCCTTCTCCTTCTTTCACTCTTGTCCTACGTGTCATTCTTTTCTCTTGTTCCACGTCGAGCTGCGGTGCAAGCAGCAAGCAGCGTTGATGATTGGGATTCCGCGGGACGATCGACACAAAATTACAGTCAAGATCCGCAACAATATGAAGAGGAGCTCGAGTCGTGACACCCCACCTCCTCGTGTTAAGCGGAGTCGCTCTTCCATGGGACGGTAAGATATCTCGCGGCATCGAACGATACAACTCCTCGTGTATCTCCCTGGTGGCAACTTCACGCGGCGTCTTTTCTTGACCAAACAAATCCCGCTCGATCCTTTCGCATTTAAACTTTCTTCCCCTCGTCCCGCGACACTGAGAATGTTGATTTGTGTAAGTAATTGATCGTCGACCTGTGATACGTAGCATCAATGACGTGTGGATTTTCTTTTTTCTTTTTTTTTCGTTACTATTGTTCCGCGCACCCGTAGATGATACGTTACGCGCATGTATGTGTGAGTATGTGCGCATTGCGCCGAGTGAATTATCTTTCATTCGATCGCTACAGCTGGCGAAACGTGTATTTATATTAATGTCTAAGGTGGTTGTTGTTTTTTTTTTACTATGAAGTTTTAAGAGAATTCGAATTTTGGAAAATTACAAGAATTCACGCATCCTAGTCTTCTTCGAGACGTGTAAAGTATGAAGGCTGTTACTTTTGATTTCAAAGATTCAAAGTTTTGGAAGAAGTTGAAAAAATGTTTCCAAAGTTAACTCTAAACGCCACTGAAGCAGAGCTGGGCATGTAATTGCAATACTTTTAATTGAAACACAGTTTTTGCAATGTACTTAAGTGTATTTTGTATTTTAACTTAGCACTTGAAAGTATTACATATTTTGTATATACAATTAAAACGCTGAAAATGTTATGTACTTTGTTATTCAAATAATAAGAGCGATTGTCTTAGTATTTGAAATACAAAAGACTTTGAAACTTTCGTTATTAATACTGAAATTTAAAATAGAGAATACTTTTATATGCTTTCATGAAATACAAAATACTTGTGTTGCAAAAAATGGGTTTTAAGTAAAAGTACTTTAAATACATATACCCAGCCCTGCTTTGGAAAGTAAAGAATTACAAAAAATCACACATCCAAGTCCTTTTCAAGACATTTTAATTTTAAGACTAAATAGTAGGACTCATTAAATGCTGTTACTTCTTACAAACTTTTCGAATTTTTGAAAACAACACGTATTATTTTCGAACTTTAAGATACTTTCAAACTTCGAAAAGTTTAAAGAAGCTTTGAAGCACCTTAAACTTGAAAGGAATTTGAAAATTCTTTTAAAGCTTTAACTTATTAAAAGTAATAACCCTAGTATTTAATCATATAAGAAATCGTGAAAAATATTTACATTTATATGTGAA